AAAAAAAAAAAAAAAAAAAGGAAAAACGGTCTTTGCAGGTGTAATTAAGTTGACAGTACTGAGATGAGATCATCCCGATTAGGGTGGGCCCTCAATCCAATGAGAAGTGTCTTTATAAGACAGATGGAGAAGTGTCACAGAGAAGAGAAACCTGTATGAAAAACAGGCAGAGACTGGAGTAATTTGGTATCTGGGGCCACCAGGAGCTAGAAGAGGCAGGAAGGAGCCTTCTCTGGAGGCTTTGGAGGGAGTGGAGGGAGCGCAGCCCTGTGATACCCTGATTTCACACTTTTGGCCTCCAGAGCTTAAAGAATAAACTTGTGGGGTTTGGTGGGGAGGGGAATTGTTTTGTTTTAGAGATGAAGTCTTGCTGTGTTGCCCAGGCTGGAATGCAGTGGTGAGATCACACTCCACTGCAAACTTGAACTCCTGGGCTGGAGTAACTTTGTTACTGTTTGTTTTTTCAATCCTGGGCTGGCTAATTTTATTTATTTATTTATTTTTATTTTTAGAGACGATGGGGGAGAGGCGGGGGTGGGGGGGTCTTGCTACGTTGCCCAGGCTGGTCTTGAACTTTTGGCTTCAGCCTCCAGGGCAGCTGAGAATACTGGCAGGGCCACTGCGCCCTACAAAGTTGAGTTGCTGGCCGGGCGGAGTCGGAGTGGCTCAGGCATGTAATCCCAGCAATTTGGGAGGCAGAGGTGGACGGATCACGATGTCAAGAGATCGAGACCATCTTGGCCAATATGGTGAAACCCTGTCTCTACTAAAAATACAAAAATTAGCGGGACGTGGTGGCGGGCGCCTGTAGTTCCAGCTACTAGGGAGGCTGAGGCAGACGAATCACTTGAACCTGAGAGGCGGAGGTTGCAGTGAGCCGACATCGTGCCACTGCTCCAGGCTGGCGACAGAGTAAGACTCCGTCTCAAAAAATAAAATAAAATAAAATAAAATAATAAAAACTTGGGTTGTTCTAAGCGACTCGCTCGTGGTCCTTTACTCCAGCAGCCTGTGGCGGTGCACACGCCCCTCTCAGCGCAGCCAGGGGCTGGCACCCCCACCCAGCTCGTTCTCAGCCCGATTTGAAGCCGCCACCAGAAGGCGCAGGAGAGCAGGGACGCGGCCCCGCCGCAGCTTCCCAAGCCTCACCCACCTCGCAGCGTCCGTATCCAGTCCACGTTGGGAGCCTGCAGCGCCTCCGGGTCCGTGACGACCCCGCCGGGCACGATGCGCTCAAAGGCGGCCAGGTCCTGCTCAGACACCGTGGAGAACGGCAAGCGCCGCACGGGGTAGCGCTCCCGGGT